ATGAAAACGTGAGTGCCAACACAAACATATGACTTGATGGATTTTGGGGGGCCTGTATAAATGAACTTTTCTCTTCCTTCAGTACTCACCGACAATGACAATGAGCGTGTGAAGGATGAGCTCCAGCACCAAGACACCACATGTCTTAAAGAACAAGGACCAACCTCACCAAGAACCAGAGTTGAGTCTTACCTCACACATCCATAGGAACCAAATCCTACCGCAGCTCTGGATGAGGTGGATGCTTCTCATTTCAGCACGGATAGAGGAAGGACCTGTCTGAGATGAGAGCTCCATCATTTAAAACCACTCCAATATTTTCATATAACTTTAACATAGAAGCCCACACACACCAAGACAACATAAATTTGCTTCTTTTTGTTAAGTGGATCTGAAAATCATGCATAGTATTCTGCATGTAGTGCAGAATACTATGTACTTCTTCAGCGAGGATGTGCAGCATGTGTGTAACATTCCATTAGAGTATTTTAGGATCTAATCTCTGATATTTTAAAAAGCCTCAAAACAAGTTTGCCGAGGAACACCTTTGGCTACAGTAGATTTGATATGCACCAATGCGAATGACAAAAAAAATCTAGCATTCTGCTATCATTTCCTTCATCGCATACTTGGGAAATACAATGGACTGTTAACAAAATAAAATGACTACTTCTGTTCAATGTCATGATATTTTATAACAATGGATTTTACTGCTAAAGCCTTTTAATGAGCCTAATGTGGGACATTTTGACATTTTTCCATGGGACACTCAGAAGATGACATGAAATTAAGAGTGTTTTTGGGTGGGAGTTTGGTCAAACACAACAACACTTCATCATGCAACACTGCATCTTTTCTCACTGGCTTAGTTTTCATTTTCCTTTGTGCTGTTGTATTGTTTGACCCATTGCTGTTTGCCTTTAGTCAGTTAAAAACGTGCCGCTAACACCCAAAAGACAGTTAACTAAACTAAACTTAGCCAAGAAAGAATGCCCTCTCACATTCAACTGCGTTTATTTCCTTCAAATTTTTTGAGATGTGTAAATATTTGTATTAACATAATTTCAACAGCTGAGACAAACTGAACAAGTTTCACAGATGTGGTGAACAGAAATGGAATACCGAGTCCCTGAATAAAGGGGGTGTCTATATCAAAAGTAAAAATTCTTGTGTGACCACCACACTAAGCAAGTTCCTGAGCTTCTGGGGGGACACGTGGTTAGCCACTGTGAGGATGATTAGCTGTCCTTCCTATCGCCCTGTTCAATGAACAAGCTTGAAAAGCATTGTTTAAACACTTTCCAAAAAATTGGATTTTGTAAAATTATCTTTAAAATATAGTATGCTGAAAAAGGGGTGATTAATTTTTTTTGCTGAGTTTATATATTTTTTAAAGTTTCTCTTCCCTAGTCTGTCTTAATATTGTACCGCCTTACTTGACCTGTTACATCATGTTGTTTAGCCTTTACTGTATGTATTATGTTCCTTGGAATACACAGTGAAATGAGTTGTGTAATTTTTATGATTAAATTATTTTTTTGTTCATACAACTATTTCAAGTCTCATCTCTTCTGCAAGTAAATATGTATAATAACAAATGTTTCTGTCAATATTAGTTAAGAGACATTCAAATGAACAGTCATGGTTAGTCTCAACTGCCAACATTTTATTCACAGTTCTTAATTATTTTTTCAATTATGGGAGTTTGACATATTGAAATAACTCTGGCATAATTCTGGCAAAGGTGCTTTGGTCTGTTCACACTGCTCCATGTAAGTAGAGTGCCAGGAACTTCTTGAAGGTGTTAGGCTGATATCCTGACAAACCAGCAGGGACCTATAATGAAGAGCATGACATGTTCAGTCGACAAAGCTTGACACCACCTTCTTATACATCACAACTCAGTTAGTGGAATTCTAATTTGTTGAGCACAGAATTCCAAGTATTGTTCAGCACTTTCTAAGCAAGTAACGTTTCCTTGTAAGCAAAAAATAAACAGTGGCTTTCTGCACAGCACAATTCGTCTGAGATAGTCAAAACAAATGCAAATACATACACGTTTAACCACATTTAATATCAACTAACTAAATTTAAGAACCCTGCCATTAAATAAAGATTAAATTTTTGTTGGATAGGCCATACACTACTGATTTTTCAAAATATTTTTTACTTAAGTCTCTTATGCTTACCAAGGCTGAATTTATTTGATTAAAAAAACCCAGTAATATTGTGATGTAATATTGTTATGGTTAAAAAAAAGCCACACAACTGTTTGTTTTTTGCACAATTTGCAGCATTTATTTAAAATATAATTTTTTTGTAACATCATTAATGCCTTTACTGTCACAATCAATTTAATGCACTATTTATAAAAGTATTAATTTCTTTAAAAAAAACAATTACAGAGCCAAATCTTGATAGTCAAAGTTAATTTATCTAAATTAACTCTTTACCTGCACAACTTTCTTCTTGATAAGAGGCTTGACCTTGGCAAACTCATAGAGAGGCTGGTCCTCGTCCACCCATGCCAGATTCTTCACTCCACTGTCAGACTGCAGGTCAGTCGTGTTAAGCTGAAACACCACAAACTGGAAGAGACGGCCATTAGTGGCCACGCTCTGCACCACGATGGGCTTCTCCAGGACACTGGGCTCCTTCTGCAAAAAGATGAGAGAACATCTGCAAACTACTTTTTTGCTTTATATCATTACTGACAAACTACTGAACATGCAGAGTACAAAGAAGTAAGATAATATTTAACTGTTTTTTTACTAACTTAACACAAGAAAGAATTATCTAGAATCTTGTTTATTTATATGTGCCAACATAGGAAAACAAAGTAACAAACGCCACTTATTTATCTACATACATTTTGCACTAAAAGAATGCCATTTGGAGATTTTAACACTTTTTACTGATGTTAAAAACATTGAAACAGTTTGGATTCACAACAATTAGCAGTATATACAGTCTTGTTTAAGACCAAGGAAAATTTGTATTTAATATTTTTGCAGGATTCTTTGATAAATAGAAAGTTTGAAAGAACTGCATAAATTTGAAACAATTTTTTTCCGGTTAAAAGTATTTACTGTCACATTTGATAAATTTCATGCATCCTTGTTGAATAAAAGTATTAATTTCTTAACAGAAAAAAAAGAGAAAAATCCTATTGACCCAAAACTTTGAACAGCAGTGTACATCGTGTTGCCAAGCCCTTATCAATAGTTGAAATCAATGTTTTAAAGATGCAAGGATCTTACCCCATACAAGGCTTGTGCTCGAGCCAGCGCATTTCCAAAGGTGAACATTACCATTTTAGCACGGAGCTGTTCAGGAAGGAGTTTTGGGGTATTTCCCATCTCCATCAGGAAGAGAGTGTGGGCATGAGGGTAAGGATAGTCCTTTCTGAATCCTGGCGAAAGGGAAAGAAGCAATTAATTAACCGATAATATTTCTTTTTGCCATAATGTGAAAATGATTTCAAATTAAACATGCTAAAAGTCACTTTTAATTAAAAAAACACTGGCTGACTGACCACTGTAATAAATGACTTTCAGTTGTTGTTGTTGTTTTTCAGGAATTTGCTGTGAGTGATTGTGAATGAAGTCAGTGGCTGACCTGTGTCGTTCTTCTCCTGGTAAACATGTGTGTTCTGAAGGTCAATGGTGGGCGCAATGGGATAGAAGGTCTCCAGAGCCTGATCAGCAGTGCTCTGGATCTGCTCCTGTCCAGCCACCACCGGTAAAGGGGTCATGGAGTTCAACAGCAACCCATTCTGACCTCTGACCTGAAACACGTCCTCTCCTAGGAACAGATGGATTTTGCATATCATTTAAATATTTTTGATCTAAATACAGCTTTGTCAATAAAAAAAAATTATATATATATATATATATATATATATACACACACACAATAAACACATAAATATATGTAAAGAATAACTAATTAATTCTACATCCATTTTGAATACTACAACATTTTGAGTAATTAAACATTCCAAATTTGGGATCAGAAAGCTTTTTTTTAATTGATACTTTTACCCAGTGTGTTGGAATGATCAAAAATGACAGCAAATACATTTATCTTATGAAAGATTTCATATAAAGGCTGTTTCTATTTCATTAAGGAATTCTGAAATCACTGTTTTCACAAAAATATTAAGCTACACAGTTATTTTCAACATCGATAAGAAGTTTCTAGACAACCAATTCATCATAGAATGATTTCAGAAGGATCATGTGACACTGAAGACTGGAGTAATAATACTGAAATTCAGCTTTGCCATCACAGGAATATATCACATTATATACTGTATATATATATATATATATATATATATATATATATATATAACCTCAAAAAGCAAGGCCTGTATTTAATAAGGATGGGATAATTATTAAAAGCTGAAAATTATAGTCAATATGAAACAGCAATCACAATCGATTTTACAGTATTTGCATAATGTGATGTATTTGTGGGGCTGCAAGTTGCGGATGCACACTTTGTACAACTCATGCAACGGTTCTATTACCCAGAACATTTACACTACTGTTTAAAAGTTTGGGGTTTATTAATATTTATATTGATATAAAAGTGGTTCTTTTGAACTTTTTATTCCAAGATACCGATATCCAGTAATACCAAAAAATGTATCATGGTTTCTACAGTACACCATCATCGATATCGATAGAAAAAATGTTCAATATATCACACGATAGTTTCATGCTTTTTTTCATTTAAAGGCACGTGTTATGAGTGACAAGTAGAGAGCCAACAGAACACAGAAACACACGCTGAAATGAGTGCCGTGCCTGCCTGCGATGAGGAGACTGAATAAAAAAAAAAAGGATTATTAGTCGAATATGAAAATTAAAATTTGCATTCAAATGAAAAAAACGGTATATTTGAATTTTAGGTGTGCACCAGGGAGCCTTATCAGCGGTGCACGAGATGCGGTGAGGATGATGTTGTTGCATTTTAATGTTTTTGTTAGTCTATATCCAGTTGAAACCACAAGATGCGCCACTGCTGCATTTCCCATTCAAAATATTAGAGAACTATAGAAGCTCAATGCGGAGAAGATATTCGTTAGGTTAAAACCAAAACCAAGCCATTCACACAGAACTGATATTCGACGCATTCTTGAGACGCACAACTATGACTGTTGCACTCGTGTCCTGCACAAGAGTTGAATAGAAAGCCATGTAAAGTTAAAAGAGGTTAAACTTTTAGAAAACATGTCTCAAGAATTTGTGGGGGTTTTATTCCATTCCACTGCGTCTCATATGTTTTTACATGCAATCGTGTGATCGGCGCTTTGGCTATTTGTATTAAGCTATGCATATATACATGATGCTGTTTTGTTCATTATTGTTTATGCAATTTACGAAATCATATTTGATTTATAAATATTAGTTTAGACGTTATGTACTTTTTTATAGACAGCCGTTATTTTCATTGCATTGAATAAACCGTTTAATGAGGTGCATTATTTTGCTCATTGTGCCCTCCTGTGGCCTCAGGAGACAGGCCAAATGTTTCCTTAATACTCATTTAATCTGCATATAAAATATAAGAAAGGAGATATTTGTTAAAATTTTATTCTATTTTGTTTTAATTGTTATTTTGTTTGTTAAGACTAAAATATGTTGTTGTTTGTCTTAATAAATTGGTTAAAATGGTTAAATTTAAACCTTTTTTCTACTGCTCTCTGTTTAAGAAAGGTTATAAAACAATTTCAGTAATTATCGATACCGAACGATATGAAACATTATATCGTGATATTTTTTTTAGCTATATCGCCGACCAGCCCTAATTTTAGTTAGACATTCGTCTAACATTTTTTAAATGTTACTAGTTGTTTTAGAATGTTCCGAGAATTCAAAAGTAACGTTTCCAAAATGTTTGCAAAATGATACAATGGAATGTTTCCTTGTAGAGCGTTTTTTTTAAACAATCCCATTAAGTTATGAAAACGTTATTTCTGAATATTATTGGAACGTTCAAAATGTCCAGTTTAAAAAAAAATACAAAAAAAATAAAAACTTTTTTTCTTGGCTGTGTGGATGTTAAAGGAATGAATACTGTCATCATTTACTCACCCTCAAGTTGTTCCAATCCTGTATGAGTTTCTATCTTCTGTTGAATGTGTGGGTAACCAAACAGCTGTTGGTCCCCATTGACTTCCATAATATGGGGAAAAAATATGGGAAATCAATGGGAACCAGAAACTGTTTGGTTACCAACATTCTTCAAAATATGAAGAGTTTGGTTCCAAAACGCTATAAATATATTTGGATTAATTTGAGTAAAAATGTGTTTTCTTTATCAAGAAAGTGGCAAGATGAAAACCACTATTTTCTGTTTCAAACTTTCACATAGCATCTTTAGGTTATAATAACATTAAAAATTCAAATCCAGATTTACACTGCTCTACACAGCTCTATATACCACAGTGCAACACGATTGTGACAGCACAGCAAATTATCAAATTATATCTTCACTCCACCCCACACAACTCTAGTGTATAATATATGTATTAAATATATAATAATATATATATATATATATATATATATATATATATACTCAAATAGAAAATATTTCACTTTCTTAATGTTTTCACTGTATTTTTGATCAAATAAATTCAGCCTTGGTGAGCATACAATCCCAAACCTTTCTATGTGTATGCGTATATACAGAAAAAATATTTGTTTATATCTACAAATAAACAGAGTATTGTAGCCAGTATAAATGCCCAATATAAACCTACACACTATACACCCACCTCTCCTCCAGGTCGCTGCTAAACTGTATTTCTCAGCAAGAATCCTCTTGGCCAGCTCAGGATGAGTGACCTGCAGGCCTCCACACAGGTGAAGCAGTCCGTTTAAGAGCGAGGGACTATAGAGAAAAAGAAAATACACATAAAACTCATTTTATTAACTATTTGATGGTTCATACAAAACAGGATGTGAACATTTCCAATTCACCAAACGCATGTTCCCAAGTGTCATGTCTTTTCGTGTCAATGTCAATATGGCCTTTTCATGCTCGTGGTGTGACGGGTTTTTGTGAGAAGGAAAATGTTAAGGGCCAGCAGTAGTTGGGAGATAAAACAGCCACCAAAGGGCAGATTTTAACCAGGGAGATGAGAGATATCAAAGAGGCTCTTATGAATGGCAGACCTCCCAGGAGCAGTATTAATTAATAAAGGCTTTACAGAGCCGCTGCCTGCTGAGGATGCAGACTGGCCCGAGTTTAATGACTGTCATTAAATTCAAAAACACCATCAGAGCGACACGGCCCGGGCCAAATGCCACCTTCCATATTGAAGCTGTTGAGCCAATTATGAAGCGTTGGGTGAGAGGGGACAGTAGCTGGTGTGCACGCTTCATTTAACCGTGAGTCTGTTTATGGTGCAAAGATGAAGTGAACTGCATGAACTGCACACTGTATGGCATGTTTATAGCTAGCACTGCTTCCAGTGTAATTAACATGGTACATTGGTGATATATGGGTGGCCATCTACATAATAAAACATACCTATCACTGAATGATTATTCAATCACAATATGAACACACATTATTTTACAAACTTTCATCAATAACAGACAACACTTAATCAGAAACAGCACCACCAACTGCAAGACAGTTGTGGTACTATTTGCAGTAACCACCAGATTTACCCACAAAAAGGAAACTGTGGTTGTTGTTTACATATTGAGCATGTGCAAATTTCCTATCTAACTGAACAGTTTTTTTTATAGAAGACAAAAGGCAAAAGTCAAACTTGCGAGGTTTACTGTTCAGTTTCTAGCATTTTATTTTTGTTAATAGCACAAAAAGTACTGCTGTTTTTTGTTTTTCTAACTTGTAACGTTACATGCTTGCTTGACGCACAAGGCCAAACCGCTCAAGCATTAAAGGGGTCATATGTTGTTGCTAAAAAGAACATTATTTTGTGTATTTGGTGTAATGAAATGTTTATGCGGTTTAAGGTTCAAAAAACACATTATTTTCCACATA